AACATGGATATATAAATTATGCAAAAATAGAAAAGAGTGAACTTTGAGGTCATGCTGTGCGACTTTGAAAGCCGTTAGAGAGATGAGTGGACGCATTTGAATTAGTAGTATACCAAGGTATCCAGTGATGTAATTTTACCCACAAACGGACTTGAAGTTTTTAAGCTAATTTTTTTTAAACCACTTTTGTCCAAAAAAGCATATTTTTGACCCAAAATCAAAAACGCATTCTGGATATTTAAAATAAAGACAAGTTTTACAAAGTTTGTATAATAAGCTTTCAGAAATTATATAACATGTTGGATATATAATACCATCTTCATTGTCTAATTACTCAATTAAAAAGCAAGCCAAATAAACTGCATCTCTACCTTAAGAGATTTGGGTTTCTGGTGTGAGTTAAAGTGGGAGTTCCGGTTCGAAAAAGTTGTTTAAACGCTTGCGCGTCTTCAATCTTGCTGTTCAATCTCTTTCCCACAGGTTTTTGCGTTTTACGCAATAGTAATTCTGCTACAGACAGCATTCAATGTTGTGGCCAATCACCATTTTCCTTCCCAAAGCTCCTTTCGGCTAGAGCGTCGAATGTAACTCTACCACCAAATACCCGTTGTGTCGCCACAGGACGCGCTGCCTTGGTACAGAACTGTGTCATATGACGCCTTACTAGTCGATTTCGGCTAAAATAGCGCCCCGCCGCCTTTTTACACTAGTGTTCATACACGGAACTTGATACTTCTTTTTAGTGAAATATTGTTTAGTGAGTGAAATACTAATGTTATACATGATTCAATCTTTGGAATAGCAAAATATAATACATAATAACGATATTAAATGTTGTATTTGAAGTTCGAAATTTCACGCAAAATTTCAGTTTTTACCTAGCTTGGAATAGAACGTCCTTGAACGAAATCACGCATATAGCCTCTCTCGAATCAGAAACCAGCTGCGTTTATTTCTACAATATTTCTAAGTTCATTTATCATTATTGAGTAAAGAAATCGCTGAAACGATGTATTATATCCGTAAGATATGTGCCGGCCAAAGATTGACTTCAAAACGTTCGAAGTTTCAATGAACAAACCTCCGGCATTCCCTGGGCGATATGCGTCAGATCGGTGTAGAGTGGACGCCGACCTGCAGCGTCAATGACACGCATCGCTTTTAGTGATAAAACGCCAATATGATTTTACTACACGTTTTTTTGTTATTGGAGGGCTCTCTTGTTGATTTATTCCTACGGGCGAATAAGTTTTAAAATATTTTATCAATAACTGATAATGATTATTTGTTAAACACACTGTAAAGAATGAAATAGTTAACATTTACAAAAAAATAATTTCATTGTGGAATAACGTGTGTGATATGTTAGTCGGTTCCTCGAGCTAATTAGCTCCATGGTCGGGTCATGGAGCTGACCGTCCTGTCGATTGCAAGGCAAAACATATAAACAGACGAAAGCACTTCGTGCTATTTGCGACAAAATCGTTCTACTGCTACACCGTTTGTGCTATGAAAAGTTAAAAACCGAACTACAAAAGTGGAAAAAGGTATATGACAACCAAACTACTATTTATTAATGTTCTGTGAAAATGTAAATACGAACAATTTTATCGCGGACTAAATTGTGCAAAGTAACGTTAACGTTGGTCAAGATTGCGATATCTTTCTAAAAATAGAACAGAGACAGAATTTCAGTACGTAAAATGGATCAAATGCGAACAACGTGGCAGACGAGATTTTTTTTCAACCCCAACAACGTTGCTTAGTTGCGACGTTTCGGTGATAAATACGCTTTTCGCTATTATATTTGCTGATCATGTTTGTCCGAATTGAACATGATAATGACGTGGCTCTGATCTAATGCTAAGCACAGTCCCTCATGATAATGACGTGGCTCTGATCTAATGCTAAGCACAGTCCCTCTATAGAGGGATAGAGGAACTGTGTGCTAAGTATTGTAGAGAAATACTGAATCTGGGAATAAACAACGTTTTGTTTACGTATATATAATCTTGACACTCGGCCAATCAAGGCGACGGGTGATGTCATAAGTTGCGTTCGTACATAGCTCCTTAACACGGGTTAAGAGGTCGAAAACGTTAGCCTGTGTTAAGAAAACGTGCGCGAAAGCTTAGTAAAGGCCAGGAAATGGTCATCAGTACGAGCTAAATGTGACTCCTTTTTTAAAAAGCGCGGTCCAGATCCTAGGCGCGGGCTCACAAAGTGTGCGTGAACGCCTAGCCTGGGGCACAGTCCTCAACACGGTGTTTAGGGACTGTGGCTCGGGTGGAATGCCCAACACACTTGCTATTATATTCATAAAAAGATGAACTAACGATGAAAATATGTATTACTTCCTTACTCGTGCTAACTGTTATTTCCTCCCGTACGGCGTTTGAATCTGTGTTCGGTAAGGTTTCCCGATGACATCACGGCAGATGCGCAGCTGTATCCCGGGGGGAGTTTTATACCTGGATAGTGGCAAAATCTATACCATAGAAACACCTTTGTCACTTACATCACATTCATGAGGTACTGTGATTACATAAGTATCTGAGGTGGAGATGTTCGCTCATATACGGACCCATAATAAGTATACCAATTCGGAAAAAAATATTACCGATATTTATACCTATCTTGACCAGAAATAAGACCGATACATATACCTGAAATCCAAAAAACGAGACCCATTTCAGGGGCACGTCCCCATTAGGCAAGTTCTATCACAGCCCACAGGAGCTTTATAGTAATCTACGCACGGTGACTAAAAACTAACCGTGGACGCGGCGTATTTTCGCGACCCATTATCATTGCCGTACACGAGTCACATTTGAGTGTACGCCCGGCTTGAAGTACACTTGCCTATGCGTTTAGAACCAGAAGGTTGGTGTGCCGCGGATTAATTCACGGAAGTATCGGGAATGTTGTGCTTGTAAATAAGGGAGGATTATGTAGCTCACAACAGCGTTGTGAACCACGTTCGCCACGGTCTCTGAAGAGTTCCTGTTGTTTATTTAATTTAACCATGGTTTGTAACCGTGATAGAAGAAGACAAAGGATTGCTTCGTTACCTCCATGGTTAGTGTGTGGGGAGCCTGGCTAGCGTGGGGCAAAACAAAGGTGTTAACCTATTGTTTGTCACCGGTCCTGGCGACTTTCGGGGGATCTTGGAGTAGCTGGAGAGCTTTGAGAACGGATATATCAGTGATCAATCAATTAGATACAAACAAAACGAATCATTTCAAATCATTTTAATAGCCGGAGTAAAAAAATAATAATAATATTACATATGAAGGTTACGGCAAGAATGACATAGTCAGTATACCCTTGGAAGGTATACCCATGGTATACCCCAAATTAATTGATTTTTTCATAACGTCTACATGGGTTTGAAACTACGTGTATGGAGTGAACTGGACGAGTGGGGTGATAGTGGATGATAACATTTTCGCCTGCTACATATCCATGGACATAGCCACCCTGCCCGTATGGTATAAAATTGTGTGTAATTGTATCGGTGGAAAGTTCAGTATTGAATGACTGGCTTTTTTGTTTGTTCATTCATTGTATTATAATGCTGGATATATCTTATCAGTAGTGTGATACCGGTCGTTCAGTGTGCCTCGTACTTGCCCCCACGGCACGTGTCGGAGCACGTGTGACGTCAAAGTAGGTCACGCTCTCAGCTTAACCAACGAATACACAAAGCTGATACACGTCCTTCGTGTTTTTTTGTCATATCAACGGCGTTGGTTCTGAAGTCTACTAAATAGGGGTATCATGAGTGGTGTATATGTGGTATCTTCCCTTCTCAGAATATGTAAGAGACGACACCCTCAATGGATATTTGGAGGGCGTAACGGATTCACATTATTTCGTACATGTCGTCAATATCATCCGAGGCAACTGCAAAACCGACGAAACAACCATCACGCTTCCAAACCGCTGTCTGCCTCGGGCACCGTCGGACTTGACAGCAATAATATCCAGAATTCGGACTTCATTAAACATGCAGCGGATGAAAAAGTCAATGAACCCGAGCTGAACTTTAGCGACACTAAAAAGTCATTCAAAACAAAGACGACCTTGGAAATATCTCGGGCGTTGGCTGTGTTGAAAATGTGCTCCTACTCGTACTTTGTCGACAATAGTTTAAAGGTGAGTTCTGTTGTCATAAAACAAAGGCGACGACACGATATAGACATGTAACGAGTTGATAATGTGATAAAACACACACGCATATTTTTAGAACGAGATGCGTGCACTAGTTATTAAACGTTATGATGTATTAGACTCATACATCAAGTGATTTGTCACTAGTAGTAAATATATGTGTTGCATTGGAGCCTCAGCTGTTCTGTGCCAAAATAGATCATAGTCACGGTGTCCGGACGATCCGGCCCTGGTCGGTTGCGGCCCTGGTAAAAAAAAAGACGATGCGGCCCTGGTTTGGACGTTCCGGCCCCAAAACAGTTTGGTCGATCCGGCCCTGGTATAAATTATATTCGATACGTATAAATTACAGTGCATTTTTAATTGATCATAATAAAAATGTCTGTATATGTTTGAAGAGTTTCGGGTTATCTGGTCACTTAGTTATCACGTGCGCGAAGGGTCGGAAAGAAAGAAGATTCGACGTTGATTCACTATCAGCATGAAACTGTCGGTTGTATGCTATTAATTTGCCTACCAGCTTCAGTTTGTTTCTGGGCATGCGTAATAATATTGCAGTCATACATATTGTCATTGCAGGTGTGCAAAATGTTTCTAAAATATGGAAAATATCGGTCAGATGTGATAGAAACACGACATTTTTTTTCAACAAAGTAATGTTGTTTTTATCTGATCAATTTATTTATTATATGTACTTTGCTTTCGGTAATCGTGTTGCCCGTGAACGTTCGTGAACTAATTTAGTTTCATGGCTCTAGACATAACCATGGACCTCCGTGTTGGTAGGTCCATGACATAACTGACCGGGGGGGGGGGGGCTACTTTCACATTAAGTGGTAAAGGTGTGCAACCGACCTATCGTAAACCATACTCACTTCTAAACCATTTTTTTTCTGTTTATATACCCACTACTAAACACAAGTGTTTTCAGCAAAAAAAAACACACCCAGCTCACAACTTTCGCAACCAGTGAGCGCATGCGGGCGATGCATTTTATTCAGCCTTTTCCGGTATTTGGCTTTGAATATATAAGGACCTGTGAAAATGTAAATAAATGCTACACATTTGTAAACCAAACTATTGATAAATGACCACTCACTTCAAAACAAAATAACGTTAAATGACACCCCAGTCGGGCGGCAAATACCCATATTGCACTTCTATGCAAGTAGCCCCCCGGATGTTGAATAGAGGGCTCAAATACGTTTCGCCACGGTAACCGTAACCGTGGTTTCGCATACACACGCACGATGCACACGTCCACTACCTGCTATGGCGTCGAATTCATAAAATATTGTATGAGTGTCAAATGAAAAAAGACGCCGGGTTACTGCAAGTATCTAGGTATTACACATTAATTACACATTGATCTGTATCCGTACGTGTATCTGTCGGGATCACGTTATCAGATTCATGAACTTCGAGCACATCAACTGTGTCAATAGCAAATGTTTGAAATACCCGTGTTGTACGTACCCGTCAATGTATTGCTTTATGTCCATTTTTAGATAATAGAGTTATACTTAAATAGTGTACTACTGTAGTCTCAATTTACTTTCATAGCTACTTACAAATGAAGGTCGAATCTTCCGAAAATTTGAAATAAAAATGAGCAAATAGAAATACAGATGAAAAAATGAAAATATAGCCATGAACAGTAATAACACAAATATAATAGCGGTTCAAATAAACTAAAATAACATAAAATACCCAGTTACCCAGTTCAGTACCTCCATGTTCAGTTCAATAACTGAGATCAAATGTCAGTGCCAATTCATATTACGTAACTTCTTTACAATCTACTCTTATTATGTATAAATAAATATTAAACTCAGAACAGCTGTTTGTCTGTGCAACCATGGTTACTAACCGTTGTGAAACTCTTGCTACCCCCTACCCCGATGTTGAAAATTCACTCATCGGTATGTGAATATTATCTTACTTTATATATCTAAGAACAAAATAAATGGACTTTCAAGTTACTGTTCACTGCCAACCACGGTTACTAAAAACCGTGTACCAACCATTTTTTGAATTTCACAACGAGGCTTCTCATTAGTACTCATTTGCATACAAGTATTAGCCTGGTGACGTCACCAAGGGAACATTGCTGCACAACGTAGGCATGGTAGTTTGACTATGACACCGTTTTGGAGAACGCTCCAAGTTCCAATTTATTGTCTATTGAATTTTAATGAATCTAAAATAAACTGTCACTTTGTTCACAAATATTACTCTGTATTATCAATACAGTAACACCTTGATTCATTTACAAGAGTTCGAACCTATTTCTCGGAATTAATTTCACGACCTGTCATCGTTGCTTATACGTGTATATTTTGAGTTTGAAAATGATCTATAGCAAAAAAAAAAAATAGAAGAAGGAAAAAAGCGAGTGATTCAGTAGTAATTGTTTGGTTACGATGACTCGGTCATCGCTGGTACCCGCTTCATGCAGGCATTTAATATGCTCGTAACGATTGCACTACAGTCCCTCTATCATGATAGAGGGACTGTGTTTGCACCAAGACTTTAATACTTTCCACTGCATAAACGCAGCTATATGTACGACAGTATTATTTTAATTATAGGTGTTGATCAGCCGTAACATATATGAACGCATTACATGACCTAATACGTGAGTGCACGTTTTTCATCGGTCAATGGCTTATTTCCGCATTTCTATATTCGATGCGCAAAAACGTATCATCTTTGGTAAAAATAGATTTCTAATTTGATGCAACGAAACGCAACTACTCGTTTTCTGAATGCAAACTTTGTTCTTAAATTGGATTTTCTTGCGGCGATAGTTTGGGTGGCTTTGGTTGATATCGTCCAATATTGAACCCAATTCGCGGTAGACGGAAATTCAGGGTGATTCGTTCAAATAATACTGGACCGGTCTTTATTTTTGTAATCAGTTTCACCCACCATGGAACTATTATAGTTCCATGGTTAGACCATGGAACTATAAAGTTCCATGGTTAGACATAGACAAACTACGTAACGATAATGCTGTTTGCCGGGGCTGTTTATAAACCAACAAGCTTTGTAGATTGAATGAATATCTAGGGGATTTATATTTCGTTTACTCAAACTGTGATTGACAGGCATTTTGCATACATTAGCCACCATTTTAAACTCGTGATTTTCACTGATCGCGGCACGTTTCGACCGAAAATAACATTTATACATCAAAAGCCCAACCATATGAGTGTAATCGCTAGTGTACATATTCATGCCCCCGTGGATATGTATTTGGAACCACAGCTTGATCTCCAAACATCGTAAATGGCACATTTCACGGAGCTCCCGCCACGATGTTAGCTGCTTGGTTCGGATTAGCATACTAATACGGTGGCCATCTTGACCATTATTTATAGTATCGGTTCCCCCTTAAAAATATAGCCAGAATTGTTATTTGTGCTTCGAATGCGATCGCATGGACAGACAAATCAGTATGCAAATTAATCCTTTGTTTCAGTCTGTCACTCAACCTAGTATGTAAATATATGAAGGACGTGTATACCCATAGCTGGGTTCATGAAAATAAACCGAAATTACCTACAGAAGCATCACGCACAGTGCATTTTGACCAACGATATAGAAAGCATACAATATACAAATTTCCAATTTCGCTTCCTTAACCGGATAGCAGAGGTACGCATGTGAATCTTTACATGAAAATGTGTGGTATTCTTGTCAGCTTAGATGAACAGATGCCTAGCAATATGTGTCCGCAGTCCTGCTATGTACCGAAACGTGTGTGTGTAAAATTGGCACGTGCTGAGATTTGCGGTGAACTTAACAGAACACACACTGATTCATACTAGTAGTATGACATAGCGACGGGGGGGGGGGGGGTTAGTGAAGCTAGACATGGTCGGGTGATATAGTAATGAAACAAATAAATACAGAACGTTGTCGGCGACGTTTATTTATGTGCTGTTGCAATCGGTTTCTTCTTGTGATGCTATATCGACTTAAAAAAAAAACTGTTATTCGAACTTTTTTTGCCGTTCATGTGCACGATAACTCATAATAAATACTAAATGGATTTGATTTCTATAAAGTAGTGTCGTATGCCATCATCCTGATATATTTAAATTCCAGTCTTGTTTTCCTTACGTAATTATCATTGATTACAATCCCTAAAATAAACTATTGTAGCATCTTTGTTGATTTTAGATTCACAGAAGGCCCCCTATGACAACGCGTGGCCCGCTGTGTCGATATTAGTGGGTTTCATATTGGAAAATAATCTTACAAAACGTTTAGGCTTGACTGAACCCGAATGTCACGATCCAATCCCCGAATCAAATAAAAAGGAATTTCATGACGATTTAAGACATAAGTCTAATTATACAAACTACGCTTTCTTTGAGATTAGCAACGAAAAGACAGAAAGAAAAAAAAGCGGGAAACAACACGTAGAGGTCCGCCATGCTAGACACTTCCGACGTCCATTCCAAAGAAAAGAGGGCGGTGTAGGCTGGCCTAAATAATTGTGGAAGCAAACTTAATTTTAATCTTGTTCATTCAACAGACAACAGCTTTTAGCAGGCCTTACGTACACTAAACAGGATGTTGTGCCACCTGGTTTTAAATCCTCATATTTGACTAATAAATATGAGGCGACGCATTACCCAGAAATTATTACTTCAAACACAGTCCCTCTAGAGACTGTGCTTCAAATTTAGGTCCATGTCAATATTGACGAATTAAGTCTATGTCGGGCCACAGTCCCTCTATCCCCGGTCTGGAAACGACTAGCGTTCTTTTGTCTCGAACCGCAGTGCGGGTAAACAAACCGTTCACACGCGGGCCGAGGGAGTCAGGAAGTCAGACAGATTACAATACCTTCAAAAGTTACCGTCATGCAAAGCGATACCTCATTGTACGACTTCACTTTGACTTAAAATTCGGGCAACCACAACGTAAACAAACATGTAAACAAAATTATCACTATGAAATTTGGGTTTTTTGAACCCTGATATGCATC